ATCCGCTGGTGGCAGTTGTTTCGCTGCATTCATTTCTTCCCGCACGACTCTGTCTGGTGTATTGAACAATTGACTCCTGGAGGAGCTCTGTCGTCTCTAAGAGACTCCTTCTATGATAGATACTCGTCTTGTATTCAGAGACCGGGATACGCCTCATTGTAGTTCTTCAGTTACGTTATATGCGTTCGGAATCTATTCTGGAACTCTTCCCAGAATGTGTTTGGGGGGGACTGTTCTCTGGACGCGATTTTGGTGTTTTGCATACTGGAATGTGTTCTGAGTTTCGGAATGGGTTCTCTAAACACTCCGCTTGAGTCGAGAAGCTTAGATGCTAAGCTCATCGGCTGATATGATATCTTGGTTTAATTCAGTCAATTGTGAACCGGGGATCGGGAAAGACTCCCTATTTTCACTCCATATCCCAATCTTCATGATCATTAGAAATTCTAATATATCCTGATTAGGAATCTATGAAGATTGCTGCTCCTTTCGGAATTGCGATGACTACCATTAGAGTCCCGATGATACATATTTGGACCATATCTATTATACTTCCAAACGCAAGTACGCACTAGACTACGGAGTACTGTATCATATAAGTATAATCCGGACTTTTCCGGACCCCATTCACATCACAGCTCTGTCAGCTACTCTCACTGTTTCACAGAGAGAATGCGGACGGATCAAAACCATCACTGATAAGATACTGTAGTACAACGTAGCGTCGAAATGACTACTGACTGCGGAAGGTGATGTCGCCTTCCTAAGTACTCTTCACCGAAGCGAGGTACGAAATCAAATGAGTTGGAAGAGGTATGAAAAACATTGTTCCCCCCCTGGATAGGCTGGTCGACTGAGCCACTGAACTAATATACCAGTCGTTCTCCCTGAGGGGTTATACGTCCTCTCAAAAAGCAAGTAAATGAGATAGGTAGAAGGAGTCGGAGTCTTCAGCCGAGTCGAAGGGAGAATAATAGCGTCAAGTACGAACGAGAATGCATCGGAGATTGTGAACATCTGAGATCCGTCTCTGATCTTAGAGCTGGGATACATGGCTGATCGTACAGAACAAGGCGGTATGTCCCGCGAAAATAGAGGACAATATGACATGCGTAGCTACATCAGGACCATGAGACATCTGACAAATAATGTGTAGTCGAGATAGTGCGAATGAACCTTAAGTGGATGGTCTGTAGTCGAAGCGGATAGGTTGGTCTTCGAATCGAGCAATTATTAAGCGAAAACCGAATGGGAACCACAGTTTGATCAGATCAGATCCTTCTACAATTTCCGCTTCCGGGAGACGCAGGCTGATTTCTCGATACCAGCCATAAGCTCCCTCGACGGTGAAAACATCATCATCACCGCCCTTTAGGGGATAGACCGGCGGCTCCACGAAGGGGGCCTCGCCCGGGACATCCAACTCGATCCCGACCTTCGAATCGACGACTACGTAGGTCAATGTATAGCCCAGTGCTTTGTGAACATATCTGCCAGCAGGCTGAGCTAGAGCTACCAGAACATAGCTGGCCATCAACCAGGTCAGTAGGTGTCTCATCATTATTAAAAGGGAGTAGAGTCTGAAGCGTCAGTGAAACTGCCAAACAACCCAAACCGGTATCGGGAAGACGTTGTGAGGAGTAACGATAATGATATTAGTAGCATCATATTACATTACGGTTCGACCGAGCTACATGTCTGATACCTTCGAATGCTTCGAACCAATAAAAGCCGAAATGGAAAAGCTGAATCGAGGATCTCCAATCCCCTGATCGATAGCTATTATGAATGCACGCAGGAAGAAGATCTTGCGTGATCCTCATGGCGTGGAGCCATTGGGGTAACGTCTTCCTGAAAGAGGGATTTCCGATTGGGATAACACCACACTAAATATAATAGCAGGGAATGCCTGAAGAGGCCTGATTTTACTTAGTCGAGCATCTATTCAAACTCAATGCCTGCGAAAGAGTACATTCTTAACAGTCCGTGCTCAGGTGCCCGTATACGTGAGCACGTGAGCCGTGTCACGCACTCGCATACTCACTGTGGTAGGAGGATCAACCTGCTCCCGTGGCCAGTCTGTTAGCGGTATTATGTTGTTTGTGCGTTATATTTAGATCGAATTCATTAGGTTACTCTTAGCTGCATTTGTTGCCCGACTGTGCAGCTCTGGTTCTACCTGTGCGAACTGGACAGATAGACAGTATGTGGCGGGCAGTGGCAGCCTGGCACGGAAGTGCTAACTTAGCACCGCTAAACGTCGCTCACGTGTCCATGCGCTGAACGACTGATTGTATTTAGAGTCCTACACGGATTCTTTTGAGAATTACTGTTGGCATTCCTGCCAACCTTGTCGGCCGAAATTGTAGTCTCATCTGATACCTGTATCTACCTTTGGTTATGTCGCCAGATTCATCAGCATCAGATGCATCACGCGAGATGCACTGCGAGTGCAATTATCCACTTCGCTCCAGGAAAAATATGTGAACGAATTCTGCGCCTAAAGTAAGGCAATCGCAAGAGATATTAGTTGGACTTCCCGAAGTTTGGGTGAAGCATGCAAACCATGGCTGGTTATACCAAAGAGTAGTGTCAATACAACCAACACGTTAATAACGAGTCCTCGAACACCCACCTGCTTACGAGTATGCAACTTGCGTCGGCGACCATTTACAAGAGTCCACGGTGCTGTGTCGGGGTACTTGAATATTCGAAATGGCAATAATAAAGTGAGGTCCCTCGACATCACATTAGAGCAGCTTTATCATCATCTTCTTCTTCATCACTGTCGCTAATTTGGGTATCGAAGGCACCCTTTTGGTGACACGAATGTAGAGGAGAACAACAACAACATCGCTTTTTAATAGGAGAGCCTGACTGAGTTGGCGGGGTTGACACCGTGTCACCATTCTGTTCGGTGTCATCACAATAGAGACCTCCCAGTTGTTGCGCTAATCCATCCGGATCGACTGAGAGGCGAACAGACCTTCTTATATGAGGCTGGGGTGTTAGCGGTGCCACATTGTCGGGATCGTCGAAAAGTTGATCACTTGAAGTGAGTTAACAGATAAATACTTATACCTCATATGGATTAATGCTACAGTCACTGTATTACAGTGCTATAGTTGAAACCAGTCCGACAGCTAATGGGGAATCTAGGGAGTGATGGATGATAAGGACGGGATGATTGATTTGTGTAAGCAATAAAAATCAAGGAAATGGGGCAGCTATGCCATACTAAGATATTCCTCAATACAGTCAACTCTACCAAATGGGGCAGCTATGCCATACCAAGATATTCCTCAATACAGTCAACTCTACCAAATGGGGCAGCTATGCCATAGCTCCCTGCAACCAATACCTCTAATTTCAACTATATAGGCAACTACGCCTCTAATGAGACTTTCCAGAAGTAGACAGATCAACTCCACCACCGGTGCCGAAGGAACTTGAGTCTAGCCTAGAAGTAGTAATTAACTTAACTGTAACAACGATAATGTTCAGGAACAGGTATATCATATGAGCTGACGATACTTCCTCACTCACGGGATGACACATCTCGGTAAGTAAAGATGAATTGAAGCACTCTACAGGCTATAGTACAATGACTGGCCGCATCTCGAATGGGAACTGGGGACATGTGTAATCCACATTGGTAAGATACTTCTACTATTCACAATGGGCATCATTAGACTACGATCATGAACACTATACGCATCAAACACATGAGCGTTCGTTTATACGGATAACGGGCACTTCAACATGATAACAGCGGTCGCATCTTGACCACAAAGTCATGACCTTCGGAACGGACTCCTGAGGACGTGCAGGGCCCTGTGAGTTGCAATTACAGAAATACCCGCTGGACGCGAGCGCATCCAATACATTGTCGGCCAGAGCTCGAGACTCCGAGCTTTATCCATGCAGTTGGTGAATCCAATGACAAACACAAAGAGGGGATAGTAGAGAGGATACTAGAGAGTTAAGAGCAGGCATGTCGACTCGACAATGAGAGAATTCGTGAAAAAGATGAATTTACGTAAGTCCTAGAGCCAGAGTCCGTAGGAAAGAACACTAATCTGACAGTGTTCCACGGCAGGCACATCTATACTCAAGTAGGCATGATGGATTAACCTCCGAGTGGGTCATGCTTTAACTTCGGAGCTGTTGTTCTCTCGTACTGATGTGTCAGGGCAACTACTTGTTCCTGAAAGGAACAGCGAGTAAAGACATCAAATTCCTGATCATACTTATGTGTAAACAGGATGCGTTTCGTTCGCTGTGAAAAATAGCCCGCCGAAAACAGAATAATACGCTAAGATACGCTGAGATGAGCAACTTGTTCTTCAGCCACCGTCACTCGCATTATATTCTCGCTACGCTCTCCCTCGAAGCGTTCGACCTGTGCCTCTAGAATATCACACCTGTCAGCTCGGTCGTGTTCAGTAAACTGGCCACACTTTTCTCACCGATTCTGAAGTACACGTACTCATGTTCGTGCTCTTGCCGCGATAAGCTTTCCTTACAGATCCTCATGTCTCTTCAGGAGCCTTTGGAAATTGGAGACTGTATAGAACTAATTAGTGATAGAGCATTCTATCACACTGATTAGATAACTATGGGTACCAGGAAATCACCCAGAAGCCTAAAATGGTCCTGGGCGAATTTTCATACATGGCTAGAAACAGATCCTTCAACCAGTTTTCCATACAGTACGCGCCATCTAGAAACGCGCGAACTGGGCGGGCACTTTTTTCTTTCATTTTGACGAGTTTCGACCTAATTCTTTCACCATTGAACTCCCCATGCTCGATTACCCATAAATCCAAGTCGCGCATTTGAAACTCGACAAAAAAATA